TGCCTGCAGTGGAGTATGAATAAGTTCCTTTTCAGTGCGCGGGTGAGGACCCCCAGTCAGGCACCCCGTTTTTATATCGGGGTTATCCCGTAACACTATGGCCAAGTCACTCGACCTGGGGTGAAGCTGGGCGTGGCAGGCCAGGGACGGGCCACTGTTGGCCTGTTCCTGGCAGAGTGGCCGCCCGAGGCGGGCAGGGCTGCCAGGACCACAAAGACCTGGCACAACCCCGACCCAGAGAGGCTCTGGAGTGGGGGGGTCCCACAGCAGGGCTCCTGGGCCCCAGCATGCTGAGGATTTTCTCTCCATCCCCTTCTCCCCTGCCCATTGCTACTGCCCAGATCCGCCCCTGGCCTGTGGTGACGGGCCTCTGTTCTCACCCCCACCCAAACCTGCCCTCTGGCTACTGCCCTCAGGAGCCAGCTCCTAAGGCCCAGAGCCCAGGGGCGGCCCTCTCTGCCCAGCCTCCCCCAGTGCCAGTCGAGCCCACAGAGGCGCGCAGCCAGGACGGCCCCAGGGGCAGGTCCGAGGTCCTTGAGCTGCACGACGGCCAGAAGCAGCCAGCATAGCTGCCTGGCCTCGACCCTCTCTGCCCTGACCGCCAGACCAGCGCAGCCTTCTAGACCCCGGGTGTCCTCACGCAGGCCCCCGGCGCTATTTTTACACAAGAGCTTCACCAAGTATCTATTTATATCACTCTGGTCATCTCAGAGTGCCCGCTCTCCAGCCTCCCGGCCCACTCAGGTCAGTGGGCTCAGAGCAATCCCAAACCCTGGAACTCACCTGAAGAGGTAGCCTGTGGGCGAACCCCATGGCATGCAGGGGGAAACTGAGGCCAACTCAATTCACCTTGAGAGAAGGGGATGGCTCAGGTGGGCCTAAGGGGAAGGTCTGGGCACCGTGCACTTGAGGCCCAGGGGTCACCAAGAGAGTGGCTGGCTCTTCCAAGGCTCCCAGGCCCTTTGGGCAGGGCAGAATGCTCAGTGGGGGGGTGGAAGCCACTCCCAGGCCAGACATGCAGACATGCCCAGAGGCATCCAGACCCAAACTCACCTACAAGTTTATTCCTGAGAAAGAGCTTGTCTTCCAGGGCTGCCTGCAGGTAACCCACAGCTCAGCCCCCAACCCCTGGGGTGCCTTTAGCTGCCCTGAGGGGACTCTGCAGCCAGAGTCTGGGGCTGTGGGAGGACCTGTGGGTTGGGACTCGCCCACCAGGGACAACCGAAGATGCCCTTGGGGAACCTTCCAGTCCCAGCTCTTATGAATTAGGTTAGTTCCCAGAGGCATCCTCACCTGTGGCAGCCAGGTGGAGGCAGAGGTGCTTGTTCTGGAAGAATGTTAGAGGGCAGGTCTGCTCCTGGCTCAGAAGCTGCATGTTTAGGATCTCCACGGAGACTGGCAGAGGGCCCGCCCAGGGACGCAGCACAGGTCTAGCGGAAACCTGAGGCCAGGGCACCGGTGGGGCGGCCCAGAGCCCAGTCTCCTGGCCAGCCTGGGCCTCAGCTGCTCGCTGCTCTGGGGTTGGGAAGTGACCCTGCTTTTGACCCAGTGTGTGAAGTAGGGGGTCTATCTCTGCACTACCCACAGCTGCGTCCTCCAGTCCACACACCCTCCCACCCATGTGCCTGCAAGAAAGAACTTTATGTCTGAGGCTTTTAATTCCAAGAACACATTCTAGTAAAATGTATCCCCTCTTTTCCACCTATCAGAGATCCCCTAAGAAGGCCAGGCCTTGAGCCAGCGGAGGCCCCACCCAGGGTCTATCATCTTCGGTGCCTCCGGCCATTCAGGGATTCTGCTCGCCCACATTTACTGAGAGCCTACTGTGTGCCAGGCTCTGGTGACCCTCACATTCCAGGGAGAGAGGTGACAATCAGAGCACAGGGCAGGGTGGGGGGTGGGGTCTCCACTCCAGCCGGGGGCCAGCCAACCTCCTCTTGAGATGACAACTGCACAGGGACCTGATCTGTTGATCTAGGCAGGGCTGGGCCAGCAGCCAGTGCAAAGGCCCTGGGGTGGGGCCGAGAGTGGAGAGGGAGGCTGCAGTGGCTGTGGACCCTGAAGCACTCAGCTTGGGTTTTAGTCCAAGGAGATGAGAGTTGATGGCCACCCCTGCCCTCCCCCCAGGCCTTTGCCTGGGGATTCTGGAAACTGCTTCTCCTGCACACTCCCCTGCACAGCCTAACACCCTGCAGGGCTGGGACCACAACTGACCCCCACCTCGCCCCAAATAGCCTCCCATCACTGGATTCAATAGATTCCAGGATAAGAACAAAAGCAACTTCCTTTTCTGTACTAACTTCCAGAACTTCTCTTCCCCCACAGGGGACCCGTCTGGTGTCAGTGTAACTGGGCTGCCCCCTCCCTGCCCTGTATCAGGAATCATCCAAGTACAAAATGCAAACGTGCTAACACAGGAGACCCGGCTTGAGTCCTGCCGCTCCCCGCCCCTGTGGGGTTCCGGGCCTCAAAGGCTGGGCCACCTTGGGTGCCTCCCCAGGAAGGGATGTGGGGCCTGGGAATCTGCGAAACGGAGGAGTTTGAAATGTGCTTTCTGAGCTGTAATTTCATCCCCAGAAATGAAACCAGACCAGACACCGAACCCAAGGCCGAGGGGACAAGGCCAGCCCGCAGATCCTCCCTTTCCAGGTCTCCCCACCCCCCACCGCAGCCCAGGGAGCCCCGGGGGGTCAGGGAGGCGCTAGGGTTTCATCCGGAGGAGAGCAAACCCACCAGGGTGCCGGAAGGGAAATGTACACCTCTGGGGAGGGCGGGTCTTCAGGAGAAATGAGGTTTCAGCTCAGCAGCCATCCCAGGACCCCATCCCCTCCCAATGCCGCCCCCTGCTGATTTGAGCAGGCCCTGGGGAGCACCTACTCCTACAAGCCCAGGCCGCTGTGGGCAGACCTGCCCCAGAGCCCACCCCTCCCCTGTGCCCCATATACTGGACCTTTGTACCCGAACCCAACAAGCCCCAGCCTGAACACTGACTCCCTCCTTGTGTCCCACCTCCAAGCTCTCCCTAAAGGTCACCCAGTTGGGCCAGCACCCTATAGCTGCCCCTCGGGCTGCACCCCTCCAGACCCCTGCAGGGCCTGCCCCAATGGGGCCACTCTCCTAGGAGCTTTCTGAAGCTCAACTGCTCAGTGCCTGCTGCAGCACACTTGGGGCCCGGCCCCTCCCCTAGGACCCTCAGGGAGTAGAGGCTTGGCTCAGGGACTCTAAAGGACATCTGAACTTGGTTAAAAATTTTCTTCTCAAACCTCGAAAAACAGGGATGGATGGCGCTGCCAGCCTCTGTGCTTTACCTCCCGGATGCGCGGCCACCCAGGACACCCTGTTCCCCAGGCAGCACACCCGGACACAGGCTGTTTCAGGACGATGGCCTTGGTCTCCACCTCCCCCACACCCCAGCCCTGATTGGGGTGTGGCCCAAGGGCTGCCTTCTCCCTGGAGGCTTGGAGCTGGGTCAGAGGCTGGTGATATTCAAACCCAGGCCTCCAGACCCCTAGTTCAGGGCCCAGCAGCCATTACGAGCACTGGACTAAGAGTCAGCAGACCTGAGTTTGGGTCTCTGCGTAAGGGTCTGTTCCATTCGGGGTCTAAGACCAGAACTTGAGGGCACGTGCGATCTGAGCCGCATCCCAGCCCCACCGGTATCTCCCAAGGCCCTTCCTGGGGACCCGCCCTGAGATACAGGCCCACGGCCATCCCACCGCAGGATCCACGGGCCGCGCCATCAGGGGCCTGGACACCGGCGGGCGCGTCCTCGCCGCGGGCCCGACCGGAGGAGTTACCCGGCTCTCCGGCTGGAAAGTGCCCGGCTCAGCCCACCCGTCCCGGACGGCGCGGGCTCCGGGGCGCTGGGGGAGGGGAGGGCGCGGGCTGGATCTCCCCGGGGGCCCGGGCGGGGGCCGCACACTGCGAGTTCTGGGGCTCGGGGAGCTGCTCCACCGCTTCTCCCTCCGCCACCCCCGCCCAGCTACCCAGGGCGCCCCTGAGCCGCCCTCGCCGTGGCCCTCGGGTCCGCGTGGCTGGCCGGACGCCGAGGCCTCCCGGAGTCGCCGGGGCCGCCCGGTTCCCCCGCGCAGCTCTCCGCGCCCCGGGGTCCTGTCCCGCTCCACGACCTGCCGCGGCTCCCGCGGCCCCGAGGCCTGGCCACGCCTTCGTGCCCCGCGCGCGTAAAGTTTGTCCCGCAGCCCGAGGCGCGGAGCGCCAGCCCCGAGACCCCGCCCGTGGGGGCCAAGGACCCCAGAGGCCACCGCGGGGTGGGCGCGCAGACGGGGCGGGCGGAGGCTCGCGAAGGGGCGACTGGCCGCCCCGGGGGCATCACTAGCCCTGCGCGAGCCGCCGGTCTGGGGGGTCCCCCGCGCCCCGCGGCCACCGCAGCGCGCCCGCTACAGAGGCGGGGACGCGAAGGCGCGGCGGCGCGGTCGGGCCGAGCCCAGTGCTCGGCGTCCCCGCCGGTCCCGAGGGCGCGCCCCGCCGCCCCGCCCCGCCCCGCCCCGCCCCGCCCCGCGTGGGCCCCGGTGCCCGCGACGCCCCCAGCCGCGCGGCCCCGCCACTCACTCGGCCGGCGCGCGGCCGCAGCTCCCCGCCCCGGCGGCGCGGGCGGGCGGGCGCACGAAGCACAGTCTTTGTCTGCGGCGCCCGCAACGCCCCCGCCCGCCGCCCCCCTGGCCCCGCCCCCGGCCCGGCCGGCCAATGAGGCGCGGCGGCGGCGCGCAGGCCCCGGGGCGTTGTCCGGCCGCGCCCGCCCATTGGCTGCGCTGGCGCCGGGGCCCGGCCGGCCGGCCCGGCGGGGCGCGCGGCCCGAGGTGAGGGGCCGGCGCGGGAGGGCGGCCGGCGCGCGGCGAGCGGGCGGCCGGCGAGGCGCGGGCGCTGGGCCGGAGTCGCGCGCGGAGCTTCCGCCGCGTCCCGCGCTCCCGGCCGGCTCGGGGCCCGCGCCTGGAAGCGGGGGCCGGGCCGATCTCCACGCCGGCCCGCCGGGGGCTGCTCCGACGGCGCCCGGCCGGCGAGGGGCCGGAGGAGGAGGTCGCGGAGGAGGGGCAGCCGCGGACCCGGCCATGGCGCTCGACTTCCTGGCTGGATGCGCCGGGGGTAAGGAGCCGGCGGCCCCGGGCGCGCGCGGGGGCCCTGGGATGCGGCGCGCCTGGGGTCTCGGGGGGCCGGAGCGGGGCGTCGGGGGTGCGAGGCCGGCTTGCTTTCCAGCCTCCGACCCGGCGCCTGGCCGCCGGCCGGGCCCCTCGCGGCAACGCGGGGTAACGGGGCGCGCGTCTCCGGGGCTCGCGCGGCGCGCGTGGACAGCCGGCCCCGGGGCGCCGCGCGCACGGCCCGCGGGGACAGTGGCTTCAAGTTCTCCGGGGCTTGCTCGGGCGAGAGGTCGGGGCTGCGGCGCCGGCAGCATCTGGCCCGGGGGACGCCTGACTGCCAAGGATGCCCGGCCACCCCGCGCCCTCCGGGTCCCAGGCCGGCGGTACCGCGGCCCGGCGCGCCTCCCCGTGCGGCCCTAGTTCCCGTCCCGCGCCACCCGGAGCAGGTGGCCTCCCTGGCTGGAGAAGTTCGGGGCGGATGCACCCCCGCAGCCGTCTGCGCGGGCTGAGGGCGCCGGACGACCCCCTGAGCGGGCTGGCGGGGGGTGCACCCGCGGCGCGCCGCCCCGTCCCTGGACGTTCCCGGAGCTGCGGGGCGGCAGGTCCCCCCGCGGGCCGTGGGGGCCGCGACACACCGCGGGGCTGCAGGCGTGCAAGCGTGCAGCCGCCGGGCATCTTCAGGAGGCCCGCTGCGCCCGGGAGCCCTCCGCAGCCACGTGCCCCCAGGGCCTGTGCCCTGTGCAGCCCTGGTTGCTCGGCTTCTCCTCGGTTTGACCTTTGTTTCTGCGCTTTGCCGTGAGAGTTGATTTATTCAACAGGTATTAACCGGGAGCCGGGCGTAGGTGTTAGATCCGGCCTACCCTCAGACCTGTCAGGCCGGGCCCCCAGGCAGAGGACTAGCTGGGTGCCCGCTCAGTCCGGCTCTGACCTCAGGCGGCTGCTTCCACCAGCACCTGCCCTTGTGCCTTCCTCTGGCGTTGGCTGTGAAGCTCTCAGCTGCGTGCCCGCGGGGGTGTCCTGGTGGGGGTGACTAGCAGTGCCCTTTAGTATTTGGACGGCTGGGTGCAGCTTCTTCCCTCCCAGCTCCACCTGCAGGGCCTGTGCCTGGGAAAGGATGTGTGGGGAAGGAATTTAAGAGCTCCACAGGCGGTCACCCGGCAGGGGGTGCCTCCAAACCCGGGCTGAGCCTGCCCTGGGGGGAGGAACCGCAGGTCTTCCCCAAACCTTCAGGGAATTTCTTCTTCCAGGTGCAGGGGTGCCTCAGTTGGAGGCAGAGCCACTGCACCCTGGGCTCTGGCTCCCCATCTGCCTGGGGGCTTCTCCAGGCAGCTGTGGGCTTCTCTGGGCCCAGGTCCTCGGGGCTGGCCCAGGGCCTTGGGGAGTGTGGCTCTCTCCCAGAGGAGTGGGATTCTCTCTGTATTTGCACAGGTGTTCTGGGAGCTTGGGGCTGGGGCAGAAAATGCATCCTGAGGCCAGCCGCCTTTTCCACCCCACCCCCACCCCCTACACCCAAGCAGTCCCTGGGGCAGGGGCAGGTTCTGGCAGCCCCGCCCAGATGCCCTTCTGCCTAGGTCACCCGGCCCATCTGGGAGGGATCCTGCAGGCCCAGGGTGGGGCTGCGGCCAACCTCCTGCTCCCCAGGGACGCACTCCCCTGGTCTTACTTGACTGGAACCTGCGCACAGGGAAGTGGCAAGACTAATTTGAGACCACAGTTTGCTCTCTGGAGATTTCCAGGTCCTCTCCCCTCCCTCAGCCTCAAGGTGTAGGAGAAGGTGACCTAACCCTGCCCCCCACATGACTCCTGGCACACCCAGCCCCAGCGGAGGGACTGTCCAGGCCCGGGGTGGGCAGCATCCTCGCCTTGGGGCTTGGCCGCAGAAACTCCTGCCTGGCTCCTTTGGGCTGGGGTTCCTCAGACCTGGAGGCTCAGGCCCTGATGAGGAGGCGCTTCTGGTGGCCTGGGGTCACTCTTGAGTCAGAGTCCTCTGGCTGGCTGCGTGTGGTGTCGCGGTGTTCTGGTCTTGGGGACGCAGGAGGCCATCTTGATTGACATCATCGTGTGGCTTCCCATGGGGGTGGGGTCCAAATGCTGAGGTTCTGCCCACCAGGGGCTCCATCAGTCCCAGGTCCTGAGCCTGCTCAGACTGGGCTCAGGACAGGCGTCCCCCTGCCCGGGAACAGACAGAAGGGGTAGAGCTCAGTAGTGAGCAGGGACAAGCTGCAGCCTGGTGTCACCTCCCAGCAACTCTCCGGCCAGGTGCTTTAGAAGGTGGTGCCCTCCTGTCCTGGAGGGGCATGGGGTGGGTTTGCCCCTGAGAGGCCCACTGTGGAGGGCAGTGGGCACCGGCTTCGGGTGACTTCTGTTTCTGGGACTTGGCCCCAGAACCTTTTTAGGTCTTCCTGGTTCTCAAGGTGACTTCAAAGTTGAAGGTCAGGCTTTGGGGGACTGGAAGCCCTGATGGAGGCAGGCCTCAGCCCACTCTGTGGGCTGGGAAGTTCTGGTGCCAGGGCTGAACCCATCACAGGGGGGTCGCCCGCCGGTCTGGGAGAAGGGGTCTGCAGAGGCGGCCAGGAGCACCTGCCTGCGGCCGGGAGGCTGACAGAGGCTATTGCCCGCCCCAGGCGAGTCTGGGGGCCCACAGCTGGGCCAGGGCCTGGAGAGCCAGGAGGGGCCATGGAAGAGATCTCCCCAACCCCCGGAGACCATTGCAGCCCGAGAAAAGAGGTTCTAAACTAGGGCTTTCAAATTTAGGCAATGTAAACCACGATACGAAAGAGGGTTGGTCTCGCAGGGCAGAGATAGTGTCTGAGGCCAGAAGCAAGAAGGCAGGTCTCGAGGGAAAGCAGGTGGGGCTGTCCCTTCCCCCACCTGAGGACGAGAGTCCGGGGAGGAGGACGAGGTCTGGTGGGCGGGTGAGGGGAGACGCCCGGGTCGGTGCTTCCTGGCGCGTGTGCCCCTGCTGCGGACCTGTGTGGGTGAGGACTCGAGTGCTTTGTGAACTTGGCTGGCTGGCCAGAGGCAGGGGGAACATTCACATCTGGATGAGGGCCTGAGCCCCTGCGCCTGCTGGGAGGTGTTTTTGGTTTTCATTTTTTAAAATTCTTTCTAGTTTTTTTTTTTTTTTAAAGACCTGGGGTGTAGACCAGAGGTGCGGAGGACGAGCGGATTCACCAGAGACAGTTGGGGGTAGAGCAGGTGGATCCACTGAGATCCACTGCTGAGGGGAGAGACGGGGAGACAGGACCGCGCCGCGTGGGTAGCTCCTTGGCGGGGTAAGATCTAACCCAGGCTGCAGTGGCTGAGGACAGCTTGATGGCGCTGAGACCAACCCCTGCGCCACCTCCCCGTCAGCCTCCGTTGGGGAGTGCAGTGAGCATCCAGGCGGAGGGAGAGACCCCAGCTTTCAGCTGCACACACCCTGGCTGAAGTTGGGTGTCCCCTCACATAGGGCCCAAACCAGCCCTGGGCACGAGGGCCACGGGACAACACGGGTGCTGGGGAGCGCCTCTTGCGCACAGACCTCAGCCCCCTTGCCCGAGCAGGTTCCAGGCATTGGGTCACGTGCTCCTTTCTCCCTCCAGGTGTGGCGGGCGTGCTGGTGGGACACCCGTTTGACACAGTCAAGGTGAGTCTGCACAGACGCCGAAAGGAGGGGGCCTGGGGGCTGAAAGGAGGGGGCCTGGGGGCTGCGGCTGGAGGCCCCACACCCTTGCCACCTTCAAGGTGCCCCCGTAGGCTCTGGATTGGAGGCGGCATCTCCCCGCCAAGTCGGCCTGTCCTTGCGGCCTGTCCTCACTGCGCTTGCTTTATCTAGCAGGGCTGAGCTTGGAAGTGTGTCCCGGCCTTGGCGGGCCTGGACTGAGGGCCCAAAGAGCAGCTCTTCCCTCCCCCATAGTGGGGGACACTCACACTGTTCTCAGGCTAAACTCCAGACCTTTTTCTGGATTACTAGTCCACATTCCCCCCAAACTGGTAGAGAAAGTTTGTGGCCACTCCCCGAGGGCCGTGTGCCCCTGCGAGGTCGGTGGTCCCGGCGAGTCCTCACCATTCCCCCTTCCATATGCCTGACGCCCTGGTTCTCTGACACCTCAGAGCAGGAACCAAGGAAATCCACATTCTTCAGTTGGAAATTCCCCACTATCCCACTATTCTGGGGGTCCTTAAACTCGCCAAGCCCACCCCTTCCTTCTCCTGCCTCCTCTTCCCGGCGGACTTGGGTGCTCAGGCAGGAAGGCTGGCCTCGTGCGCAACGCTGACCTGAGGAAGTTGGCCCCAGGCCTGGGGTGCCTCTGCCTGCCGTGTGATCCCGGGTCAGCCCCTTTGCCTCTGGGCACAGATGTCCTCACCTGCAAGACGAGGACCGGGCGGGATTCTGGAGGACCCTGCCAGGGCCTGGTGCCCAGCACTGTGGCCTGTGTTGGATAAAGGCTGTGGTCCTCCTGCCACCCCACTGGAGGTCCATTTAGGGAGGGGCTGAGGCCAGGCTTTCTTGCCAAGTGGAGCTCTGGGGTCTCTGGTCCACAGCCAGGGCAGCTCCGGCCAGCCTGGCAGTGTCCACCTCACGCTGGAGTTCTCTCATGGTCACGTGTTGCAAAGGCCTCTGGCAGCTGTGTCCAGTCAGGCGGTGCCTCTGATTCACTGCCCACGCTGACCTCCTGGCCGGCTTCTCAAAGCCAGGCTGGGCCTAACCAGGCCCCCTGCCTCCTCAGTCAGTCCCATCAGGCTGGGCGCTCTCCTGGTTCTGGAGCCTCCATCAACACCCACCCCCACCCTGCCAGCCACCCTTACCTGCCACCTGGGCGGCCGTCTTTGAGGAAGCTCATATGTGACTGTTCTGCACCTCCGCCTCCACCTCCGGGCAAAGCGTCCTACAGCCAGGTTTCTTACTGAAGGGAGAGAGTGCCATGGAGCTGCCCCGCTGCCCACCCGTGCCCGCCCCTCCCTGGCCCGCACGCCGGCTCACACTCACTGGGTTTCATTTTATATATGTATACACACACACACACACACACACACACACTTGTGTGTTTAAAAAAAATTATTTGTATTTTTTTCTTTTATTTTTCTTCCCCACTGGGTTGAATTCCATGCATCACCAGTGGCCTCATTTTTGTTGACTGGCTGTTTAACATTATAAAAGTGAAGCTTTCTCACTAAAAGTGGGGGGTGTAGAAAAGCAGATTATTTCCTGCCACCAGACACACCAGTTTCCACAATTTGTGCATTATTTCCATCAGAGCACGCCCTCTGCCCCACGCCCCTCATGTGGAGTTTTTTAAATGCGAGGGTTTCTTTTTTTGACAACTGAAAAATGTTTACTGTAAGACGGGCATTTCAGCAGCTAGCAGCTCCGAGAGACATGACGTCACCTTCTACCGCGGTACGCGTCCCTTTCAGGGTAACAAGCCAGTTCATTAACCAGAGTCAGAGATTTAGCCTCTGTCGCATGTGAAAAATAAGCAGAGGCCTGTCAGCCCAGCCCAATGTCTAGTAATAGCAGCTCAGAGTTGGGTCTTGGTTAGAAATGCTGTAGGCATCTTGTGATCACACGCAAATTAGTCGAAGTCAAGATGAGCTCAGGGTTTCAGCTACCCAAGGCTTTTCTTGTAACAGTAAAATCTTTTTGTTCCTAAAAATGTCAGAACGGACCGTTTGCTGTGAATGTCACAAACAACAGTCTCACGAGATTTTCATTTTACCTCCCAAGTCCACAGGGCAGGGAGGGAAGAATTAAGACAACGAGTAGGCGTGGCGTGTCTTTAAACATACGTGCATTTTAGCCACCAAGTACTTACACATTTTGGAGGTTGACTTTCTCTTACCAAAGTAATGTGGGCTGCAAAGACAAAATTTTGTAACCATAATAGTGACATTAACGGAAAGGAGAGGCCGGCCGTCCCCCCACTTCCCCCAAACTTGATCAGCGCCGCCACGGCCTGGCCGCCCGCCTGGCTGCGGACTCTCAGAGCTGGGGTTGTTTCCATGGAAATTTAACACACTGGGACGGACACACTGGCTCCGCGTGCAAACCTGTCACTCTTCATGAAGCGCCCGCCTGGGAAAATTGCCCCGAGTCCCCATGTCTCTCCTAACACCCGCCTTGGCCAGGCAGCCCCTCGCCTAACTTGCGGAGCGGCCTGCACCCTCATGCCCTCTTTCAGATCCCACGTAATTCACCACATGCTCTGGAAATGCAAGTCTGAATCTTGACCTTCCCCTGTGGCCCCCGGACCCCGGCCACTGTCCTCAGACACACACCTTCAGCCGTGGCCGTCCATAGGTAGTTTTCTGGCCGCCTTTGCAGCGCAGGGCATTCATCAGGGACACCGAGTCCCAGCCGGCTGACCGGGGGGCAGGGGGCCACCCAGACTGTCCCCACACAGCCAGCCCTGGGCCTGGCCGCCAGCCCCTCCAGAGTTCTCTCCACCACTAGCGGGGTGGGGGGTTGCGCAGATGAGCTTGGGCCCTGCATAAGTCCTGGGGTGGGGGCTGGTGCAGGGCTGCTGGGGAAAGCAGCCCCCTCCGGGTCAGGGGCTCCTGGGCTTGAGGTTCCCAGCCCAGTGGGGAGCTGGGAGCCCCCTGGGCTTGGGGTGAATGGCTGGAGCCACTGTTCCCATCCATCCCCAAACCACAGCCTGTCACCCCAAGATACTGAGTACCTGAACTCTAGATATTACAAGCTCTGGGCCACTGGGCCACACTGCACCCCCAAACCTGGTCCACCAGACTCCCAGACAGCGAGGACTTATCCCAGACCCTAGGTCAGAAACAAAGAGGGGAAGGGCCTGAGTCCCTTGGACTCCAGCTGGGCTGCGCCTATGCCACACCCAGACGCAATGTCCACCCTGTACAGGCTCAGGGGCACAGGGGTGTCTGAGAGTCCCCGGGGAGGGGTCTGCTCTGCTCACAGGACATCAGCTAACAGCCCTCTCAGAGCTCCCTGGGCCTCAGGACATGGAAGGGAAATAGGAAAACCTCGTATCACAAAAGCTGAGCCAGAGCCAGAGCTCCTGGTGTTCCTGGTTCAAGTTCAGCACCTGGTTTTGCTTTTCTCTGAAGGTCACACCCCACTGGTCCCAGCAGGACGTCCAGTCCCTGCAGGGGGTGGCTGGCTATGGAGGGGGCCTCCTGCAGAGACAGCACTTTATTTTTAAAGATTATTTATGCATACAAGAGCTGGGGTACAGGCCAGAGGTGTGGGGGTTGAGAAGATTCACCAGAGACAGAGTGGGGAGCAGAACAGACAGATCCACTGAAATCCACTGCTGAGGGTAGCAGCGGGGAGACAGGAGAGGTCTGCTGCGCCCTGTGGGTCAGCTCCCTGGCCAGGGATCGAACTTGTGCTGTAGGGCCTGCAATAGCTTGTAGCGCTGAGATTAACCCCTGTGCCACCAGGGAATCCCCAGACAGCCCTTTTTTTTCAAACAGAAAACTTTTTCTGTGAGTGTGGCTGGAGAGCCACCCAGCCTGGTGGTGAGAACCAGAAAAAGGTCGGGGGCTCCGAACCCAGTGAGGCCCTCACCGGGCAGCTCCCTGCCCCTGCCTGGCCTCGAGAAATGCAGGTCACGCAGCACCACCTTAACCGCATTGCAAGACACCTTGAGCCCACGCTTGCCGTTGGTGAAGCAGGAGCTGTGCACGCTCCCAGCCACGGGGGCATTCGAAGCCCTGGGGGTTGCCCGGCCATCGTCGGGGCAACGTCCAGGTCAGAGCTGGAGATCCGCTCCCGAGAATGGCTTCACCCGGTTCACCCGCGCCCCAGGTGGCCCCTGCTCTGCCGTGTCGCAGGCTTGGGTGAGCTCATGGTCCAGGAAAGCTTTCACACTTGGAGGCTATAGGGTGGCAGGACCGAACCCAGCCCCGGAGCTGCTGACCTGGCCCCGGAGTGTCGGAGGCTCCCTGCCACCCTTGACTGACTCCCGGCCCTGCCACCCAGAGGGGCTCGTGTGACCGGACATTAGGTCAGGAGTCCCTTTGGCAGCGGCCAGGTTTGCTACCCGGCCAGCAGGAGGGCTCAGATGAGGCTGGTGCCCTGCTGTTGGTCCATGGAGAGTGAAACAAGAGACTGCACCCCCCCCTTCTTAGGGGTCTCAGAGACCCCCAGCCCTCTGCAGCTGGCTGACTGGTTGTTTGCCCATGGATGTCTCTCCCAGAAGAAGTAGGGTTTCCGGCCACACCCCAGAATTCCAAAAGCCTCAGAAAGCCACTGGGCTCCCCGCCTCCTGCATGGAGCCCCCACCTCGGCTGGCCCCCACTTTCTTTACTGGGTTCTCCTTCCAGGTGCGGCTGCAGGTCCAGAGCGGGGAGAAGCCACAGTATCGTGGGACCCTGCACTGCTTCCAGTCCATCATCAAGCAGGAGAGCGTGAGTGGCCGGGCGGGGTGGAGCGCAGCCCCTCGCAGGGCGGGCGCCTGGGGCACGGCCCAGAAAGAAGGCGTCGGGACTGCCGGCCCAGTAGGGACTTGGCAGCGGGGCGGTGTGAGTGCCGGGCCTCTTAGCTGGGGCTGGTCCTAACAGTTCTGCTGTCCCATGGGCTCCTGGGGTGCCGCCCCCATGAGGGCCGGGGGTGGTCGGAGCACCCGGGCCGCACACCTGACGCCTCTCTGCACCCTGCAGGTGCTGGGTCTGTACAGGGGCCTGGGGTCCCCCCTCATGGGGCTCACCTTCATCAACGCGCTGGTGTTCGGCGTGCAGGGCAACACGCTCCGCGCGCTGGGTCGCGACTCGCCGCTGAACCAGTTCCTGGCGGGCGCGGCGGCGGGCGCCATCCAGTGCATCATATGCTGCCCCATGGAGCTGGCCAAGACGCGGCTGCAGCTGCAGGACGCGGGCCCGGCGCGCACCTACCGCGGCTCGCTGCACTGCCTGGCGCACATCTACCGGCAGGAGGGCCTGCGCGGCGTCCACCGGGGCATGGTGTCCACCCTGCTCCGCGAGACGCCCAGCTTCGGCGTCTACTTCCTCTCCTACGACGTGCTGACGCGCGCGCTGGGCTGCGAGCCGGGCGACCGGCTGCTGGTTCCCAAGCTGCTGCTGGCGGGCGGCACCGCGGGCATCCTGTCCTGGCTCTCCACCTACCCCGTGGACGTGGTCAAGTCGCGGCTGCAGGCCGACGGGCTGCGGGGCGCCCCGCGCTACCGGGGCATCCTGGACTGCGCGCGCCAGAGCTACCAGGCCGAGGGCTGGCGCGTCTTCACCCGCGGGCTGGCCTCCACGCTGCTGCGCGCCTTCCCGGTCAACGCTGCCACCTTTGCCACCGTCACTGTGGTGCTGTCCTACGCCCGCGGTGAGGAGGCCCAGCCGGAGGATGAGGCTGTGCCCACGGCAGCCCCCGCCCTGGCCCAGCCCTCCAGCCTGTGAGGCCCCGTCTGCGGGCAGGATCCCGCAGGGCCTGCTTCTCAGCCACCCCATGGAGACGCACCTGGGCCCGGGGCCTGGCCCCAGCTGTTAGCCGTGGGCACCGTGAGGCCTGCGTGGGTTGGTGACATGGGCCACGAGCCCCCAGCTCCTCCGCCCTCGGCTGTGAGACAGGGCTCCTCACACCCTCTCCGCACACCTGAAGCCTGTGCAGCGCTGAGCCTGGTGCCTGGAATCTTCCAGAAACCCACCAAACACTCCAGCCCACCCTAGGCCTCTAGCCACCACCTCCACAGGGTTTCTGTTGCCCACCCACGGCCACATGGGAACTCAATTGGCAGAACTTCTACATGGCCGAGTTCCAGGGACACTTCTTGGCCACCTGTCCAGCCTGTGGCTGGGACAGTGACGGCCTGGGGGGGGCCTCCTGGTGTCGGAACTTAGTCCTTCACCTGCCCCTCTTCTCCACATGGCACAGGGGAAGGGCCTGCTGCTGCCACGCTGGAGGGTGATGTGACCCACCGAGAAGCCCCAGGGCCCGCGGGGGTATCCCAGCACGGTGGGGCAGACGGGGCCTGTTCACCCTCTGGGCCTTGAGCTGTCCGACTGTAAAATGGCCGTGGGTCAGCTGGTCAGGGATCCCCAAGGTGTGCAGGGGGTGGATGAGGCCGGGGAGGACCTCACTTCCCAGCAACGGTGTTTCCCTGGGCAGCGCCTCAGTGCCCATGTCCCAGGAGGCCACCGAATGGGCTGTTTGGGTTCCTTTGTGCTAAGGGGGTACTAAGCCCACGCCCCAGGGGCCGTCCCTAGAAGTCAGGCCCTCGCCCCAGATGCAGCCCACCCTGAGCGTATGGTGACACCGTGCAGAGGCCCCCGAGGGAATAAAGTGTTCGTTCTTTGCTTTTTTAAGAGCTTGGGGCTTCCTTTGCGCAAAGTGGAGGGAAGGGCTTCATTCTCGGGCTGCTCCCAGGAGCCAGAGCGGCCGCCCTGGTGGCCGTGCGCCCTTGGACCCTGCTGGCTGCTTGGCTGCGGGACTCGGGGCAAGCTAGACCCTCAGTCTCCTTGTCTGCCAGTCAGGGCTCACGCAAGCCCAGGGGTCAGTGAGGAAAGCGGGGTTTCCCCCTTGCCCCCAGCGAGTGATCCCAGGAGTCTGCTGTCCCGAGGCTGGTCCTGGCTCCTGCCCGGCCTGCAGGTGTGGGCCGGCAGCGAGGGTAGTGAACTGGGAGGGTGCCTACTGGTGCCAGTTGGGAGCACTAGAGGGCAGAGGATCTGAAATAAGCCCCAGCAGCCTCAGGGCTCCGTGAGGCCCGCTTCCCGGAGGTCACCTCCTTTGGCAAAGGGGTGTCCTGCTGGGTACCCAGGCCCCTGAGCCTCCCCAGCTACCAGCAGGAAGCTCTGTCCTTCCCAACTCCTGAGCCCAAAGCCACACCCGCCTGTAGGAGAGAGGCCCCAGCTTTCCCCCCAGGAGGGCCCCCAGCCTCCAGTTCTTCACACACCATTTAACCCTCAGCACCAGCCTGCAGCCCCAGGCTTCTCTGCAGCTGGGAAACCGGTGACCCCACCCCAGCACAGCACGGGGCCGCAGCCCCTCCCCTTCCTGTGCCCCCAGTTCTCTTCCCTCTGAAAGGAGCCAGGCAGATGCTGAAGAGCTGGCCCCCGGTGCACCCCCCCACCCTGCGAGCTGAGGTCAGGTGTCAGCACGGTGGCTAACGTGGAAGCGCCAGGGGAGCAGGCGGAGCTGTGAGGAGCGGGTGTGGGCGCTGCGCCCCGCCTGCTGGTGTAGGTACTGCCTGTTCTGTTCTTGGCTTTTTTTCACTTGACAATTATCTTGGAGATGGCACTTGTTCCCGGGGCTGCCACAGCAGAACAGCACGGCCCGGCCCGTGTGGCTGAGACAACAGACGTTTCTCCTCTCGGCCTTCTGGAGGCCAGAATCTGAGGTTCAGGTGTGGGCAGTGCGGTTCCTTCCGGGGGCCGTGGAGCCTGGAGGAGCACGGCTGAGGAGCACCGCAGCCTCTCCCAGCGTCTTGGGGCCGGCCCCCGGGCTGTGGGCAGTGCCCATCTCTGCCTGTGCACGCGGTCCCTCTCCGGAAGCCCCCGTGGCTTGGGTCACAGGGAGTCAGTCTTTGCCTTCAGGGCCTGCCCTGCCTTAGTCTGCTGAGACCCCACTTCCAAGTAGGGCCACGCCCACAGGTGGCGCTGGGGGAGGACAGCAACTTGTCTTCTGGGGGTACAATTCTACCACAACCAGCTTGTCAATGTCCGTGGGCCAAGTATGTGGGTGAATGCCCCTACTTGCTTCGTCGGGCAGCACTGGGACTGGTATCTGGTCTTAGGGTGCTAGTAGCTGACCCGCCCACGGAGGGCAGAGGTCGCTGAGGCCCTCTGACAGCCTGGATGATGGAGGCGGAAGGAAGGTGGGGGCTCACCGCGGGGTCACGAGGCCGGAGAGGGCCACCAGGCCACAGCAGGGCGAGGCGCCCTCCAGGGGCTCACGGGGTTCCAGTGTGCTGGGCTCCAGTGTGTCTGCACGAAGTGGCCCCGTGCCCCAGAGCTGGACGCGCCATAAAAGGGAGGCGTGGGCCTGCGACACAACCCTTGACCTCTGCCCCTCTGCCTGGTGCAACAGGCCACAGCTGTGGCCCTGCCGGGCCAGGCAGGGTGTCACTGGCAGCCACTTCCAGGACCTGGTGGGTTTTACTGGGGATCCACAGGCGCTGGTGCCCCAAGGACACCACCCTGACCTCAGGGCACAGCTGCACCCCAGTACTCCCCCCACCCCTCCAGCCGGGCTCGCGGGCAGCTGACATCACTGGGCTATGAAGACCAGCTTTGTTGCCCCCCAACAGGGACAATGACAAGCCAGCTGGGGGTGGCTGCCCAGGCACCCCCTTAGGGAGTTCTGGTTTGAATGATCCCTGGTGGGCAGTGACATGCACTGCAGCGGGGGTGCACGATGGGGTGTGGATGTGGGGAAGGCAGTGAGCTGCCAGGGGGTGGGTGAAGGGTTGGTGATCCGCGAGAAGGGCACGGGAAAGTTCCGGGAAGGGAAGGTGGCGTGACCGGTGGGGCCTCGGGGCGCACAGGCAGAGAGGCCAGAGCAGAGTGGAGGGGCAGGTGTCATGGAAGACAGGGTCGGGTGGCCATGGCCGCGAAGGCTGGGGTGACCAGAGGAGGCCAAGGAACACAGGGATCCCAGAGACTGAGAGACCACCGGGGACATGTGGTGCAGAAGTGGGAGTAGGGGTGCATAAGGTGAGGGTGAGGAAAAATCACTCAGGCTCGGGGGAGTCCAGGGCTTCCCCGGGGCTGCTCACTCCCCTGCCCCTCCCTCGGGAGGCCACCCCTCTCACTACCTGGACACCAGGTGTCCCTAGTAATGTCTCCCCTCTTGCCAACTCCAGGTCACCCCCACAAGGGCATCACAGAAGCACCCCACTCCTCCCTGCACCTCTGCCCCCCACCCCAGTGGCAGGTGCTTCCTCCTCTGGGACTCGCCCCTACTCCCAACTCCCCCTGAGGATGGAGCTGCCACCAGGCCCAAGGCCACTGACCTCCCCAAGCCTGTGCAACCCGCCTCCTCTCCGAGGAGCCCCGTTGGTGGGGCTGTGATGGCGGGAGGAGGGAGGATGGACACAGTGAGGTGGGACAGGTGGAAGGACTGGAAAGCTCCTGGCTTTCAGGGCCCGATATACACCAGGCTGCCGGGGGAAGGCAGGGTGCAGGGCCTGCGGGCTCTGGCCACCAGCTCCGGGGAGAGGGGCGGGTGTGAAACCCTGGCAGGAGGTGATAGGGGAGCGAGGGTCACCTACCCTGAGGAGCACTTCCAGGCCTGCCCCTCCCAGCCTGTCCGGGCCTGCTGCCCAGCACAGCCATCTCCATCTTCCGGTCACCTCTACTGGCCTCCACGTCCCCGCAGGCCAGCCCGTCGGCACCGACACGGCTTGACAGTCCTTGGTGCTCAGGGGGAGTGAGCGAGCTGAGAACTTGAGGACGGGAAGCTTGGAGGGCAGGGAAAGCTGGGGATTCCTCGGGGTGTGACAGCGTGCCGAGGGGCTACACCGGAGGGCAGTGGTCCGCCATCAAAAACCAGCCCAGAGCCCTCAAGCCCCCCAGGTGCTTCCAACCTAAACCCACGGACCGCGGTTTCACCCACCAGACAGACCTGCTCAGCCCCAGCCACGCTCCACTCAGCAGACCTGGCCACCTGAGGGCCCGGGGCGCCCTCCATCCCTGTGAAGAGCCTCACTCTGAGCGCCTGCTCTTGGCGGCCTGCGCAGCTCTCGGGTTTAGCGAAAGCTCTTCACTACGCCATATTGGCTATGAAGCTCCCAGAACTGACATGGGGGCCCTTCAGCCCAACCAGCTGAGGTTCTCTCGCGAGACTCGTGGCCGCCTCAGCCCGGGAGCGAGAGGCCAGGTGGCAGGAGCAATCTGGCTGCTGGGAGCATCCAGCTGTGAGCAGGAGCCCTCGAGGCCGTCCAGGGTCATCGTGGGCCAGGCTGGCGTCCACAGCCAGGCCGTGTAGTAAAACTCAAGAGGCGGCGGCCGAGAGGAGGGACACACAAGGACCACAGGCATTAAAAAGCTTGACATTATGCATTTATTATATTTTATAGCTCCATGTTACACATGCGTGGTGCTTCAAACTGAGTTACCGCTAAATGTTTCTGGATGCAAAGCCATCTGATGCTTGATGCGGATGCCTTAAATACTACAATATTTCTGCATCTATGACCTATGAGCTAAGGAGAAACCAAGGACAATTCCAGAAATGGCAAAGAACATTTAAGAAAAAGATGTACATGAGACACAGTACTAGTCCTTGAGCCAGGGCCTACAGAAGTTACCAGAAAGTGAATAAAAACAATTGTTCTATGTAAATGGTTTGCCCAATCGCCACGTGGAGAGCACAGAGCCTTCGCCACAGGTATGGGCGTGGTAGGAAAAGGCGAGTCTGTAGAAGCGCTTTCCCCCCACAACGGAGGCGGATGGGGGGGCTCCAGATGGCAGCACGTGGCACAGCAGACACCCCCACGGCCCGAGGCCGTCTCCTGTGGAGTCTGTGTCTCTAATGAAAGGTGTCAGTTGGCTCACACTTGCCCCTCAGTCGAATCACCGTGACTGACTCGCGTGATCGTCACAGCAGCGCACTCACCTCTGCAGACTCCAGAGGGGCTGGACACGCGGAGGCGCGACAGCTGGTGGGAAGGTCCCCTCACCTGCTGACCTCACCTCCAAGAGCCAGCTCAAAGACCCTTTCAGGCACTCTGCCGCCCTCCCAGGCCGGAGACGGAGAGGGGAGGCCTGGAAGCCCCTCAGACACACTCGTGCCCGTGGGGAGGGGCCTGCCTTGCTCACAGGCTTTCCCTGACCCCACCTTCTGGGCACCTGGGGAAGCTCAACAGCCTGAACAGTAACCACCACGAGCCGAGAGGGTCAGTTAGGGCGCAGGAGACCAGCCACTCGGTCAGTGCTTGTGCCAGGGCAACGGGATGTCTAAAGCCTCAGGTACCTTCTGGAAGACCAATGAGCTGGCCCCAGAGTGCTGGGTCAGAGCTGAATCACAACTAAGAGCCCTGGCTCCCCCCTACACCTCCTTGGGGAGACCTGCTGGGTCTGAACTCTGAAGAGGGGCTGCACGCCACGACGATGGCTACAAAGGCAGACGAGGACCCCAAGGCCACCCAGTGACGGGCCCGGAGTGGCCAGGAAGCCTCTCGGCCAGCCACATACCTGCGGGCAGCTTCGGTTCTTGCCACTGCTGCACCGCTGGGTCCTTGCTCCTCCTGGTGGTCAGGCGTCAAGAAAATAGAGGGACTTAAGAATCCAAGAGGGCTAACAACAGCCCTCCTGAGTCACACAGCCCCCCACGGCACAGGAGCTGACAGCGCAGGGCGGTCAGCCCCTCAACCTGGAGCTTTTTAAGTCAAACCTTTTCCCGAGGGCCAGGTCTTCCTGTGCCACCAGCAGATCCCGAGGAGTTTAAGGAAACTGGGGCGGGGCAGCGAGCGCCCCCCGCAGCCTCAGCGCTGCCCGGGTCCAGGCCCCTCCCAGGATGGAGGCGCCTCTCCTCTGCTCGCGAAGGAACGAACAGGAATTCTGCTTGGAATCACAGGTGGGCACTGACATACTATTCTGACCAGTGGTCTGTACTCAAAACTAGCAAAAGTGACATTTCAAAGAATTGCTACATGAAAACCAAACAGGGAAAAGCAAAACTCTGGATTTCCTCAAATCCTCAGGCCTGGAATCTAGGCGCAGCACACAAACACGGTATGAAACCAACGGCATGAGCTCAATGTCACCTTGAAAATAAATGTCACTCTGGGGTGATAGTTCTTTATACAAATATGCTTCCCCCCACCACTACCAAAAGGGGGAGGGAAGAGGAAGAAATCCAAAAATAGAAAACAATATCTGGTTAAAGTGTAAACTTATCCTCTGGAGTTTTTATATTACATATGCTAGAAACATGCATTTATTTCAGCTCAGATGTAAGAAAATATGTCTATCAGTCTTACTTATAAATCAGATTATTCCTCAAGACAACCGACTCACTGTTAGAACACCATTTAAAGTTTAGTAAATTACATCTTTAGCAAAATTATAAATTCTAACCACAAGCAAAACGGGCGTTAAGTTATACCCAAGGAGAACTACGTCTACTCTGGAAGTCGCTGTTCACGGATGAGTTTCCTACACGTTGGAAATTGAGAGTGCTACGTCAACAAGGAACCTGCACATGTAATTTTCTTCACCCCCCAACTCAACTCCTTTCAGAGATTAACTGCAGATTGAGAAGATACGTGAACACAGGGACAGGATGGGAGAGGTGACCAAAGGCATCCCCCGGGGGTCAAGGCACAGAGGAAGAGGGGCCTCTCTCCACACGGGCACGCCCGAGGCCACCTCCAGTCGGCTCGGCCTGGGCCCTGGGGCAGGCGTCCTGAGGACAGGGCCAGGGCCGGGCTCCAGTGTGGGACGGTGTTGGCCGAGGGTGCCGCTTGCCCAACGTGGGGGGAGCGCAGGTATGGGCACCCACACCTCAGGCATCCGTGAAGGTCTGTGCCCCAGCCCTGTCCAAGAATCCCACGTTGGGCCCGGGTGCTCAGCCTTCGAGTGGACCTCCGCCACGGCTTACCTCTCTCCCACTGCCAGATACAGCAAAGCCTGGCTTATCCAGAGAACAGCTGGGGTCTTCTCATTAACTCATTCCATCAAACTACTCAATGGATAACAGATTCTGAGCGAATAAAAAAAAGTGTCTCAAGTTAAATTTTTTCATTTATGATTCAGAAGGCACTTCAAAATCCCAGAGAGCCACAGGGCCACTGCTATTCGGCCACCAATCCTCCATTGCAGGACCGATGGAGAGGCTGGGAGAGATCAGGCTGCGTTTTTGGACCTGATGGTGTCCTGGACATCTTGTAAATAAATCTGAGAATAGCTAGTTTGTCAATTACCTCGCAGCGTTGAGCATACAGCAGACACACACTATGTTTGCATTTTGAATAAATGGGATTTTGCTGTATCATGGCAGTTTATAAAAGTTCCATGAGTCTGATATTCGACTCTACGTAAAATCCAAAATTATAATCGTACGTTTAAGAGGTCACAATGTGAGAGGTAAAGTACTCACTGAGTACAATTTTCTAACCATCGAATCACCTTGTCCACCTGCATTCAGTATCCATTTAGAAGCATGACACCCGGGCTCCGGCGCGCAACGGCCGCACTGCTAGCACTGCGCCTGCGTCTGGAGGCGGCTCACAAACCAGACAGCCTGGGACCCTGGGTGCGACCAGGCGAGTGCCCAGGGCCCGTGCAGTGTCGCTGCCGGAGGCCCGGGGCTTCCCTCTGGGACTCAGCCAACATCTTACCTGAGGGCGCACACCGGCCGGGGCACAAGTGCTGCAGTACACAGCTGCCGGGGGGCTAAAGTCAAAATCCTATCACCAACGGGCCCGTTTTGGGGTGCTCTGAGGTAGTTCCTTAACTCGGGATGCCTGTTACCTGCTCTCTCTCAGAATTCAGCACACATAGGAAGTACTAAAATAATCCATGCATCGCTCTACTTCCAAGTCACTGTAACCGAGTGCAAAATAAAGGAAACTTGAGTTGCTTTATTTAGCTTCCAATTTCTGGGAGGCTCAAGAATTATAATTATTCTGGACAACAAAAGGAAATAAGACTGTGCTTACAGATCTTTTTCTGCCATATTCTTTCTGTAGGATTGCTATTTTATTGTTGCCCTTTCTGTTACACGGGATGTACACATCAGGTGTTAAAAGGTACAATACATTCTACGACTGAGCACCACTTTCTGTAACTGAACAGGCAAAGAAATTACACTGAACATCAGCATCTGGCAGTATTTTTTCGGAAAAAAAAAAAGTGACTAAAATGGGTTTAAATTGATTAACACTATTAAATCACATCTAATATTTGATACTACATGATTCAATACAGCTATACGATACAATTATACAAAATGTGTTAACATCAAAGAATACAACCAAAATTAAGATAGCAAACAAAACCTATATAACTTTTTTTTTACAGGAAAATACTTTTGAAGTATGCATGTAACTGCCCATTCTTTTAAAGAAAATCTACTGCAAGCAAAGTTATCAACCTCCAGAGAAATCACACATCGCATTACTAAGCATATCCCCAAAAAGTGTACAATATGCACACTTGGAAAATACAAAATTAAAAAAATTGTAAGCAACAGGTGAGCTTCATATTTATAAGAATGTGAAAAGAAGTCCCCTTTTTAGCACTGTTGTATAAAGAATTGTCTTTTGATGCGAAGTTCATGAATTGTCCTCCGATTGGGACCACACTTTACAAAACACCGTGTTTTTGAAACGAGATTACAGAGCAAGATAGAGCATCTTAGCAATGTCATCTTATTCAAGTTTTTTTTTTTTTTTAATTTTTTTCTACTTTATCAAAACATGTCCCTTAGGTGAGTAGGATTCATTTTTAAAATTCTTTCCTAGAAACAATATACAAAGGAGAGGCGTATTTATTCCCAATCACACTCCTGGAAGATGCTTCCCAAGGCTGAGAGGCTCTTCTCTCTTCTTCTCACTGGTTGTTTTTGGCCTTAGCATGTGTTAAGATGTGAGATTTCAGGTTAGTCGACTGAGCAAACTTCTTATTACAACCGTCGAAGGGGCACACATAGGGCCTGTCTCCGGTGTGGATTCGCACGTGCGTGCGCAAATTGAAGTCCAGTGAAAAGCGCTTTCCGCAGCCTTCGAACGTGCACTGTCGAGGAGAGACCAGAGAGAAGCCACTCAGACTGTGGCCGGCCTCGCCGGCAGCTGTGCTGCGCCCGAGAGAGCGGCGGTCGCCGGCGCGTCCCTGCCCGGGGCCAACTCCAGATGTACTCTAGAGGGGGCAGACAGGCTTAGCCCCAAGGGGAGCCCTCCTGAGCTGTTGACAGAAAATCTTGGCAAAATACAAGACTCTTCCTGATACCCTAAGTCCCAGGACTTGTGGAAATAGCCCAAATCTATAACACAAATGGGTAGAAGGTTTCTGCTGTCAAGTACCAAAAAGAACCATGTTAAGATTTACTAATGCACTGCTCGTGCGTTCACTTATTTATAGGCACTTAAAAACACGACAAAATACTAACTGTACTTACTCTCATCATACCCTACAACCTTAGGCGCTCCCCTCCATCAGTAGTTGGAGCTACTGTTAGTAATGACTGAGTGGCCGGGACACCGTCTCCGCTCCCTCCTGGGCTGACCCGCTCCCTCCTGGCCCTCCTGCCATGGCGCGCTCTCCCGGCACCACCTCGAGGCCTCTGCCGCCAGCACCACAGACCAGACGTTACCTCTAGGGGAGCGAAGACCCCAGGAGCCCCGTGATCCATTCCAGGACACTGATTCCACTTTCCCTATGAGCACTAAGACCCCTCCGCTCCCTCGGGACCCCGCCCTCGGGCTTGGCGAGGTGTGAGGGGAAGGACGGGCTCTACCTGAAAGGGCTTCTCTCCAGTATGAACCAGTTGGTGTCGTTTTAGTTTTGAGCTCTCAACAAAAGCTTTGCCACATTCTGCACAGACGTGGACTCGGGGGCCGTGGGTGTGCAGGTGTTTTCTCATGGCAGAGTTATCCCTGAACATCTTTGTGCAGCCCTTTGAACAGAGAGAGAAGCTTAGTGGTTCACACTGCAAATTGGACAAAGGATTCACCACTTAACAGCCTTCACTGACACATGAAAACAAAACAAGCCCCCACCCCCACTTCATGGACTCAGGGCTACAGTAGAAATAGTAAATTACTTAGGACAAAAAAACCAGACAGCTGGAGAAGGCCTGATCATTGACCGAAAACCCTTGTCTTACAGATGAGGAAACTGAGGCTTAGAGATGTCTGTAAGCAGACCTGCCCAAGGTCACACCACCAGTAGAAGCCGAGCCGGGAGTAGAACCCGACACCCCGGCTTCCAGTTACACCACAGCTGCCTCACCCCACCATGTCCCCCAGATGAAGTAACAGAAGCACCGATAATAAATGGAGTTAAGATGACGGCAGTCCACCACTACCTTCGGTGGGCCCCGCATCCCGTGCTGCGAGAATGGGCTGTCATTCTCCGCCGCCTACTGTCCCCTCTTCTCTCTTTGCCTCTTTCCCCTTCTTGACAGAGAAAGAAGCAAGAGGGTTCTCCAAGGAATGGCAACTACAGAAGAAATTTATTTTGTGAGACACTGGGAACAGAAGCAGGCAAACGGATACCGGAGACCGGAGCAGGGAGGGCAGATGGGGGTGCGGAGCTCGAGAAGCGGGGCTTCACAATTTCTTCTGCAGTTGTTGCCCAACAATGGGGTGGATGGAGGATGAGAAGACAGCGCGACAGGAGACAGCACGAGGGACCACTAGACGCTTCACAGGTGGGGGAGGGGAAGCCACATTTTTTTCACCTTGACCTCTAGGTTGGGTTTCCATTTAGAAAATGGAGTTTTAAAGAAATGGGAAAGAAGTATACAGAGAAGCTGGAGCGGTGACAGGCTCGAGGCACAACTGTTTTCAAACGCTGGTTTACCTCTGACCCCGAAGGAAATCACTAGACATTTCCAAACCTCCCCATTAAGAGCGCCGACCAGAGCCGGCACCAGCAGTGGCACCAGGAACCTCGGTGGTCCTTCCCCATTTGTTGACTTTAAGAATGTCTTCCATTCAAAATTCTGCCCCTTCTGTTTTTCTGCACTCAAGTGGTATTTGTCTGTTAGTTTTACATCCAATTAAGCTTGAAACAGACCCAACCAATACTTCATAGCACTTTTCAGGCTCCGTTTTAGCTTAAAAACGAACCACATTTGAAAACAATTAAGTGCCCTTCTAGTAACAGACAATTAACAGGGTAAATTAAGGAAATTGTGAAGGAAACTATCATCTCTCAGGCTAATTTTACCAAGATCCAAAATAATTTCCATAATGAGCCTACAGTTCCATAAAGGTCCACGGTGAGATACGACCCACTGCCTTAAGATTAATGTGTTAATGATCCAAAGAGTATAAATAAAGTCCTAATAGTCTATTCAATATATAATAAAAACATGGCCTACAGTAGCCCCACCTAATAGTGTTTAAGTGGCCTTTACTGAACAAACTTACATCACAAAATAGTCAATAGCCTCTTGAATTTAGAAACCAAAGATCATAGTTCCTCAATCTCAATTATGAAGACGGAAATGAAAGTGCAAACTCGTAAAAGCTCTCTAAAACTCCATCCACAGTTTAATGACCACTTTCCCCCTAGCATTACTTACTTTATGAGGGCAAGCTATTGTTCTTGGAGCATCATCTTCTTTAATTTTTCTTGGCTTCATTCTTACCAAAAAAACAAAAACAAAACAAAAAAAAAACAAAAAGAGAGAGAGAGAGAGAGATTTGTAGGAGTGGGTAGACTCAACTGGCGTTAATCATATAGTCCCTACAATGTTCTCCTTACAGGTACGGAGACTGAGGTTACAATATGCGTCCATGACGGGGCGGGGCTGAGACAATGGACGCTCGCGGGGCCCCTGACGCCAAGTGTCCTTCCCATTTCAGGCAGAGCCAAACTGGCCCCGGGCTCAGCGCTAGAGTCAGTACAGCTTAGGAACGCACTGTGATCTGTGATTCAAAGCATCTGCTCTTTCCTCAAAACTTCAAAAATACAAAAGGCCAAAAGCCCAGAAAAACACAGGGGAGCAAAGCAAGGTCTCCCAAAGTAGCTGCTGTGTGCAGAGGCACCTCATAAGAAGGGAGCCAAGGCTGGGGGGAGGGACTTAAAAATCTCATCTCTTGCAACTGCATGGAATGGGGGGCGGGGGAGTCCACACTGACAAATCATCTTCAAGAGAGCTCATGTTGTGCAGGATACATAGTAACAGTTCATCCAAACAGATTTATTTAGATACACACAAATAATTAAGTCTACAAAGAAACCAACTGCTGGGAGTCCCTGGGGACCGCTGGACAGGTGAGGATACCCCTACCCTTTCCTATGTTCAGTTGCCACCATGTCTCTTGTGGTGGTGGGAGGGAAAACAGTTTTTCAGAACACAGAGCATTTACTCTCACCGCCACCTTTCTGGCCCATTCAGGTCCTGGCCAGGAGGGCCGTCGGGGCGAGTCCTGTGTGGAATCACTAGCCAGAGAGCTTGCCAACTTGGTAACTTACCTACCTGCCATTTCCACTGAACCAACCTTTGGTCTTTTGTCAAAACTTTCTCTCCAAATACTCCCTACAGATCTGTGTGTGGTAGAGGGGTGAGAAATTAAGAGTTCCTAGAAAAAAAGATTTAAATCTCTGAAACAGATTTTCTTGCCACCTCACACTCCTACAAGAGGATTCATATTTAATAAATCACTAAACCAACAATTCCTTAACCATCAGAGCTTGGTCACCACCACTCTTTTTTATTACGAGCAATTCCTTGTGTCATTCAAAGTCAGCAGAGGCCCTAACAACATTTTCTGCCCCCCCCCTCCCCCCGCAAAGCCCCCAACACTGGATAAAGGATTCCATAGTGCTCTGGACTTTCCAGAACCTGAATTCAGGGGCTCATCCAGCCTGACTTTGCTAGGTGCCATAGAAGCATAGGTGAAACCACTTATCTGGTAACTATGGTTGATCTCCAGGGAGCTTGTTCGAGACTGTACAACAGTATCGTCTATGAACGTTATTTTCAGTCTGGAAACTTCCCCATACCCCACCCCTGTAGATAGTTGTTCTTTCTTGTAACTGGAGGATTACAGTTGGGGAGCATTTTCTAAGCACCTGCTGTGTCCACGGTTCTAAACTAATCTTTATCTTAAGTACCATTAAATCCTGCAGGTTGGGCGTCAGTTCCCAAAACCAGGTAGGGCAAAAACTGGGTGCTACTGCGCCACCTGGAGGCATTATCAGAGTCTGAAAATGAGCAGTGATTCACATGAAAGGTTCTCCTCCAATCAAGTATTAACAGGAGTAATAACTGGAACCACATTGCAACTTCCCAATTGAGAATGTCTCCTTCTGATGACTGCACTAAAATGCTCTGGGTCTTAATTGCAGAGACAGCTGGCTACAAGATGTTGCGTGTCCGGATTCCCAGACCAGTACTCACCTAAAAGATGGCGGATTTTAGGCTATGCAAATTCTATCTTAAGCCTGACTTAAAAAATATCTGAGTCATATACATCATATAAATGACCTTTTCCCTCTCCTACCCATCTTGGGGTTTGAAAGTGGGGTCAAGGTCAGTGAGACACCCCATGACAGCAGGACTAACGTGGCTGAGTTACTCAGGAGGAGAGCTCCCTCCCACCCCCCGTATACTTTCTTACTAGGAATTTATTTCTTTTTTAATTTTATCATCATGGAAAATTTCAAATATACACATTAGTAATGAGAACAGTCCCACGTACCAATTTATTTGCATCTTAATTTTTTAAATGCCATAATTGTGGTATTTTTTTTTTCCTTAAAATGTCACTTCCAAAAGATGTGCTGGTATTTAAAAATTCAATTTTAGAGTGAGAGTTTGAAATATATTTGGACAATCACCTGTGAACGCAAAGAGGAAGCGGGGGCGAAGCTGCAGTCACTCTTAAGCTCCCGGGCAAACCATCCGTCTTCACTAGAGTGGCAACAAGGCAACCCGTGGTTGATGCCTTTTACATTTTATTTGAATGCCAACTTTAAAAAGATAATTTCCCCTCAAAGTACACTTAGATTGAAAATGTCCTGTGAGTAAAGACTAAAATCTTCATGGCAATTGATTTATCACCTATAAAACCATGTACATTTGAAACCCTAAAAAATTTTAGGACTAACATCATATCCCCACTTAGAGCATCTTCAATGGCCACCCCTACGCAGTCAGAAGGGCCCGTGAGCTGAGCTTCTCGGCGTTGGGGATACTTTACAGAGATCTTTTGAACTGGAGACAACGATGACAACAGCAGAGGCACTAATGGATGGGGCGGAATGAGATGTGAGACTTGATGCTGACTTCTACCAGCTGCATGACCTTGAGCAAAACACTTCAACTTCTCAGCCTCAGTTTCTTATTCTGTAAGCAGGTGGAGACGCTACCTACGTTAGAGCTATGGGGACCAGAAGTGACGATGCGTGTCGGGCTCTTGGGAAATGACAGCTTCTTCTCACCACTGCGGTGTGTTACATGGGCCTAGCTAAAAACAAGTCCATTCCTTAAAACAACAACAACAACAACCCAATTGTACTTAACCCAGGAGGCTCGGGTACTCCAACCCGTCCTCTCCACCAGGAAGGCAGAGAGAGGCCGTCCCTTCAATGTACTGTGAATATACGGAGGAGCCAGGTATCCAGCAGAGGTTTCCTGTCCAATTAAAAATGGAGACTGGGTCCTAGGATGTGTCTGCGGTTCCAGACAAGCTCCTCCTGCACAGGGGAAAGAGTCACACCGCAGAGGTTGGACTCTAGGGCCAAAACCACATTTCCTGGCACAACTGACCGCAGGGACTGTGTAAACCAGAAGTTCTGACGTAGTTAAATATACAGAAGCAGGGAGGGAACATTTTCAAAGCGGTGCTTCTTGAATGAAAATAAGCCTCATCCCTGCATGACAAGCCGAGCTGACTACAGACTGGAACCACCAATTCTGACCTGTGCTGACGCAACATGAGCTCCTGAGCCACACTGCCACCGTGTGCCAGCACAACTCACCTCCAGTCCTTGTGCAAAGAATAATGTGGCTTTTAGACAGATCAAAGTCTGTTAATGAATTACGTCTCAAAAAAAAAACAAAAAAAAAACCCAAACATTTATACACATATTCCTGTGATAATATTAAAAAGGCTTAAGGTCCTTTCAGCTCCACCATCATATTTCATCTGCACATTAATCCTGTGAAAAAGTCTCAGGGTGGGTGGTGAACAACCAAATAGCCAACGTGTGACTGACCTAACCAACCACTCTTTATCCTGCTCTTTCTATGCCACAGGCTTTCAAAGGACTAGCTTCATGCAAAAACGCAGAAAGGTCGTCCATTTAATCAGGATACAGAATTCACCAGATCCCCACCCACTGACCACTTATTAAAGTGTGTGCTTCAGGGAAGTACAGAGTCACCCACACTCCCATCTCCCCACGCTTTGCCAATGAAGCGGCTGCTCCTTACACTCAGCCCCACACATGCAACTGATTCACTAAGCAATCTATGGCTGGGCAGTGGGAACCGGAAGCATTCTCTGGGCAGGTCCAGTCCAGTCCAGAATCTTGTCACCCGAGCAGGAGAGGGGAAAGCAGGTGCAGTGGCACCTTCACGCACCCGCTGAGTCAGAGGAGAGGGGCAAAGAGTGAGGCCAGCAGAACCAGTGCTGTGGATTTGAAGCAAAGATGACGGGATTTGCTTCCTCACTTTTGCCCTGTTTGAAACTTGGTGCCTGTCTTCCGCTTTCAGAGTTCCCAGCCAATAATCCTGGGACCTCTGGGAAATCTTAGTCGGCTATTTCAGGCATTCTCTCACGGTGAGACCCTAAACAAAGCAGGGCACTCCGGGCTCCAGTGTACCAACACTGCTGCTTTCCAATTACATTTACTTTATTGGGAGTGTTTTAAGAGATACTATGAAAAATGGGGTGAGGAGGAGCCTGACCCTCAGCCCACCTGGAAATGCCCAAACCCTCTTGGCTATGCCTTTACTTTGTGTTCACTGTCAAGATGGGCAAGACTTCATTCTGTTCGGAATACAAAAAGAAATCTTTAACAGGGTGATTATAAGGGAAAACAAACACACACTATTTATCTTCAGATAACCAGGTAAATACCGACCACTACAGACTAACTGTGTGCTACGATCACACTTCCTGCTCTACAAACAAATGCAATACAGTAGCTTCAGTATCAAGGAGAGGATTTTGCTATTGTCAGGTCAAGTGAGTTCCCTTTAAATATTGCCAAAGTTATGCCCCATTTTTAGGCTTTGGCTTTTTTTTTTTTTAAGCTGTGGCGCCCCTTTTTCACAGGGTCTGATTATCTTTTCATTTTTAGAATACACTTTCTCACACCACCAAGATCTCTTACTCATTCTATCTACCACTGAATGAAGTCAACGTTTCCTGAAGAAATTCCTACAATCCAGCGACTTCCTACTCTGAACTGAGAATGTCTTCCAGCCTGTTGCACAGCTGTCTTCTTGGTCTTCTTTACACTGTATTCTCAAGGGAAGTCTTCCCTTTGATGTACATCCTTGTTTTACTGGATCATATCTTCAAGTAACCTCAGAAAGGTGCAGGCAATATAAAACAATTTTGTAGGTATCTACAGTTGTCATTATTTTGCTCTTATATCTGACTGATGGCTTTGCTGGGTCAAGAATTCTACATATTTTCTCTCAGAAATCTTAAGGCATTACTCCACAATCTTCCAACTAGTTACTGCTATGGGAGAAAAGCCTCCTTGCAGTTTAGCATTCTTTTGCAGGTGACTTATCTTTTCTCTCTGCTTTATCCTCAGTGTTTTGAAATTTCACAAATGGATGGCTACCTGGTGCTTGGGTCTCAGTCCCTCAGGCAATTCCCTGAGGAGCAGAGTCTGAGGCAGTGTGGATGGAGAATGGAAGGACCATGGGAACAAGCAGAAGCTTCTGCCCCAACAGTGACACGTCTCCCAAGAATGGGACTCAAACAGCCTGGGTTTTCTTTCTTTCTTTCTTTTTAAGACTTTTATGCAGGGCGCAGCGGCTGAGCACCAGTTCAATCCCCGGCCGCCGGCGAGGGTCCCACATGGCATGACAGACCTCTCCTGCCGCCCGCTGCTCCCCTCAGCAGTGTATTTCATCAGTCTGCTTGTTCTGTTCCCCGCTCTGGCTCCAGTGAATTCTCTCACCCTTCCCATGCTTCTGACTGTACCTACCCAGTGCTTGTATAAATAAAAAAATAAATCTTTAAAAAGAAAAAAAATTTTATGCAAACAAGACCTGGGGTGTAGGCCAGAGGTGGGGGAGGGGGGAAGTGAGAGGATTCACCAGAGACAGGGTGGAGAGATCAGGCAGATCTACTGAAATACACTGCTGAGGGGAGCAGTGGGGAGACAGGAGAGTTCTGCTGCACCATGTGGGTCAGCTCCCTGGTTGGGGATGGAACTCGTGCTGCAGATAGCTTCACAGTGGTGAGACTTAGCACCTTGCACCACCAGGGAAGCCCACACCCTGGATCTTCTGTTTGTCCCAAAGAACTTGGGACAAACTTTCAGATCACCCAATCCTGTAGCCAGGGTGAACAAGGGCGATGGCCTTTTCTGGTCCCCCTCCTCCCACCCAAATGACCTTGCTGTCCCAGTGGGCCATCCAGACACCAGGGCTTTCCCTAGCTTTACGCTACAATCTCTTCTCTCCAAAAGCACCCCTCCCTGGATGGCCTACCACACTGCACTTGCCGGCATGGCAAGTCTCGCATGGGTGCTTCACTAGCATCTAGAACCAAGCATGGCCTCCCTGAATCCCAAACCACTGCCATCTCCCAATCTCCTCTCACCTTAGAGGCTAAGTTTTAATGTCCATTTGGACTCCTTGTTATTACACCCCTGCCCAGTCTCTCTCCTCGTCACCTGTCACATGCGCTAACTAGCAGTCTTGACCACCACGATTCTGCTCAGGCCTGCAGCAGTTCTTGCTCAACTGTCCTCTCCTGCTGTCCGGCTGCCCCTGCACCCCTCTAGCCTGGATCCAGCTGAAAACTAATTCTTCCAAATTCAATCTCTGATCACACAGCCTCCCCCCGCCCCCCAGCTCAACACAATGGTTATAGCAAGTAAAGGCCATGTATCTTGGTGTAGCCATCCATCACTCCCTGTAAGCACCTGTTTCCAGGCAAAGCAAATCCTTCTTTTGTGCCATAACATGCTGGATGCCATGTATGGGCTGCCCTGCTGTGCCCACACCACTGCTGCCACAGAGCCAGCCATCAAAACCCTACGATTTTCAACACCTAACCCAACATCCCCCCCGCCCCGACCTTTCCTGCCTCTTTAGTTCCCTGTCTCTAATCTGCCCACGCCTTCACTGACTTCTGAGTATATAAGGAAAAGGTGGTAAACTAGGGACACACAACAATATGAAACATGGGCTTGATGCTGTCCCAACTCTAATCTCCCTGCAGACCCCATTTTTATGCGTGTTGGGGGAGGGTGGGCTGTTAACATGTAATCCACAGTGCTGTATTTAAAACATGAATGGCACTAGTGGTTGGACACAGCATCACTTTACTTTTTTTTCAGCCCTGATACAACAAATGCACGAATGGGTGTATCCCACGGTGTCATGGGGGAGAGGGAGAAAGGGGCAAGAAGCCCTTCTTTAAAATGCACGGGATTCTTACAGGCATTTGACATGTGGGGAAACTGAGGTTCCAAATGGCACGTGGCCTGTCTTGTTTCATAGCAGGGCTGGGAAGAGAAGCCAGTCCCTCCGAGGTCTCTGGCACTCTCCTACCACGTTCTGCTCTTGTGGGAGAGAGAAGGCGCCCTGCTGAGTGCTGAGGCGGTGCAGGACTGCAGACATTTCTTTCTTCTGGCTCCCGCCCACGGTGCATCCCATGGGCTGTGCCAGGACCCAGCTGACCTCAGGGAGGGAGAAGGACACTTTCTGAGCCTGAGTTTACTAGTTCATTTCATTTTACTTGAAAGTTTTTACTTTTGTGGGTTTCCTTGAAAAAACTGCCAAACAGTAGAAGAAGATAAAGAGAGGCAGAGGCTTCTGCAGAAATGCAGTCCCACTCTGGGCAAAGCAAACCAAGCTCAGTGGTTCAGAGCTTGGACACTCCCAGGGGTCCCAGCCACCAAGTATGTTGTTTCTTCCTGTCACAGCAGCTTAAATTGACAAAACACACTGGCGCTTAATGGAGGACAGGTTGAAACGTGAACTGAGTGAGCCTTTCTGTGGTCAGTTGTGGCACACGGGTGGGGACCCGGGCCCCCTGCTTAGCCCAGGACAATACACCCCCTTTCAGTGCAGACAAAGGAGAGGCTGTGTGAAGCTATCCATTTCCAACAATTTATGTGCAATTCTATTTATTCACAAGCAGTGTCAACTATGGAATTAAAGTGTATTTGTTTTATCTTATTGTTTGCAAGGATCTAAAATAGTGCCATACACATTAATAGCATGGTTACTACTAAAAATAAAACCAACTGGTTTTGTTTTCAGAAGTTTCCCTAGAGCAAGAATACAAGCCACCATTGTCACTGCGGCCCTGAGAAACACAGCTGGCAACGCTCACTATACTTCCTAAAATTGAAACAATGGAAAGTTCTTAGAACTTACCTGGCAAATTCTGCCAGCTGTTTGGGATCTGAGAGGTCAATGCCAGGGATCCCTCCAGGCGGAAGCTTCTTTCCTGTCATATATTCTGAATAATCGGGCGGAGAGTTCTCGCCAATGATCTGTTCTTCAACCACTGTCTCGTGGTCGATATCTTTTTTTTCATCTGAAACACATTATAAGATCTTAACTGAGTAAAAATGTACAAGTGGGCAAATACCATGTCAAAACTATAAAAGGGCCATCACGAGGCAGCGCCCTAAAGAGAGTTATAGTTGCTACCTCAATTTCTTAACCCGGTCTTTCTCTTTAATCTCCTGAAATGTGCATGAAAGCCACCAAATCTTTAATGCCCGCTGCGCCACCAGGGGAGGCCCTGCAGCGCCGGTTTGTTCCCCAGCTGCCAGCGAGGGTCCCACAAAAAAAACAAACAAACAAAAAACAAAAACAAACAAACAAACAAAAAAAAAACCAAAACAAAATCTTTAATGCCCGATAAAATCGACCTTTATGTTGGGGTTCTTGGACACTGGAATAGTTTCACATTGGTGTCCCGTCACCCCTTTCTCAACTTCCACTCCCACTTCTCTTTAATCAACTTTCCCATTTCCTTGCTCTCTGTCCCCAACTCCAGTTCTAGTTTTGTCCATCGTGAACCCCTCCTTACTGACCATCAGGCTCTGTGCCAGGACTCAGGTGGGCAGTGACTAGGCGGGTCTTCCCAAGGCCTGGTCTAGGTGCTCCAGGTCAAGCATCTCCCCTATCTCTTCCCCCATACAGATCCATCGACCTCCCTCAGCTCCCCCCCCCCCCCCCCCCGCCCCATGCAAATTTCACAATGGTGCAATTCCTCCCTCACAGGGCTGGAAGCACCTGGAGGACAGGGATGCTCAGCAGTTTTGATCTCCACACATCCCCAGAACTTTGTCCAAAGTCTGCACACAGTTGGCCCTCAATAAATGAAGAATGCAGGCCGTCTCCACTGGCACATCCTATGGCCATCTCAAACCCAACAGGTGAAAAAAATGACTTCACTCTCCGATATCCCAGACACCAAGTCCCACCGGTCATCTCTAAAAGATCTTCCTTTGTTTCACTGCCACCGACTTACTCTTATTATCTCAAATCTAAAGGACTATCCTTTCTTCCCAGTTCTGTTCTCTGCCTTAGAGATGCAATAAAGGACAAGCTGACACAGAAAAGACACCAGATATACTCTCACCCTGGCACAAACCCCGCAACAGAGATAGAGTTACTGCAGCTGGGAGTGCTGGGCGCTGTGCTGCCTGGCCCCACGCAGACACAGCCAGCCTTACCTTCCAGTTCTCCAACTCGCGACCCGTTGTCAACCCACCGACCTGTTTTCCTCACAGCTGAATTCACAAGGGCCTGGCAAGTCTACTCAGCAAGAGTCCCCGCCTGGCTTTTCCTCATTACCTCTCCCTAAACCCAGCCTACCCTCCACGTGAGCTGAGCTCACATTTTCTGAGGGCTGTTGATACTCTGACACTGCTTACCTTTCCTTGGAACTTCTAGATTATTTCTTGATAGTAACACTGACGAACTCTAAATCATTCTGTTTTGAAATTTCATTGGCCTTGCCTCTGAAGTGAGTGAAGTGCCCAGAGGCCAAAAACTGTCTCGAAAGCCCCCACATATTTCAATGTTAACTGAAAATTTCAGCTCTCCATTAACGTGTTTCTCAAGGAACAGTAACCTAAGGACTTTCAGGCACGTAACCAGGCTCACTTGCATTACCTTTCTGCCAATGATAAAAGTTCCAGTCCCGTCAGCATGAAAAGCACAGACCGTAAGTTTCAAGCTACAAATGCCACCGCCCCCACCCCACTCCCCGGCTTCACTTAGCAACATGGGTCCTCACAAGCAATCCCAGCCACAGCTGCAATGTTATATACAGCAGCTGACATTACGGTGAATGCTTACGTGTTGGCATTGGTTTCACGGTTGTATTGTTTATTTTTTCTCTTTAAAAGCAGGCACTGCATATATCACCATAAGAAATGTCCCGGGCCTCCCCTGGTGGCACAGCGGTTGAGCGCTGGGCTGAGAAGCTGCCCGCAGCCTCTGCAGCGCCAGTTCGATCCCCAGCCGCTGGTGAGGGTCCCACATGGCATGACAGACCTCTCCTGCCGCCCGCTGCTCCCCTCAGCAGTGTATTTCGGTCCATCTGCCTGCTCTGTTCCCCGCTCTGGCTCTGGTGAATTCTCTCATCCTCCCGCGCTTCTGACTGTACCCAGCGCTTGTATGTATGTATGTATGTATGTATGTATGTATGCATAAATCAATCAATCAATCTTTAAAAAAAAAAAAAAGTCCCAATAAGCAACTGCGTTTTACAGAGATAGCTGAGATGTTAAGTCTTGCTCAAGGCTGACTAGTTAGGTCAGTGACAGATGTGAACTGTGTGCCTGACTGTTAAGCTCAGCTGCCTCTTGTGTGAAAGTAGAAAAAAACCCATCACATATCCATTCAGAGATGACTGAAGGGGCCGAAGAACAAACAGCTGTGTGAACAGATGTATGGATAAAAAGGACCCAAGTCACAAAGCTGGACTCCCCCCCAGAAGACAGGGGTCTTGCTTTTTTATTTTCTTGGAGCTGTAATAGTTCCTTCACCCTCTAATCTCTCCAACCAACTACTTACTATACCACCTTTCAAGAGGCAGACACAGCAGCCCCCTGCATTCTGCGGTCGATACCCAATCGACTGCAGTCTGAAAATACTGTGTACAATGAGCTGTTCTGAGACGACATTCCTACTCCATTAGTCTACTGCTATAACCCTTCTGTTTCATTAATAATTGTTGTTAATCACTTCTTGTGCCTAAACTTACAAATTTTCTCATAAATCTACATGTGGGAACACACACACACACACACACACACACACACACACACACAGAGTTCAGCATGATCCATGGTTTTAGACAGCCATTGGAGGTCTTGGACTGTGTCTTTCGTGGCCTAGTGTAACTCAACAGGCAAAGAATCTATTTTTCTTCAATGATGTCTCTTTGATTCATGAATGGCAGCAAGGTTGAGAACTCTAACTGGCAGAGCAAGGCACAGATGAGGGAGTGTCTCAAGTGTGCTGCAACAGAAACAAAGCTGAGCTCCAGCCATAAAGGACCCACGGGCCAAATCATTCCCTGTACTAGCACATGTATTACCTGGAGGGCGCTGATGCGTCTGGCGCTGTTTTAGGCACCAGGAATAACAGTCCGGGCTGATACAACAAAAAGACTGGGAGGTGTAACCCACAGAAATTGGTTTCTTAGTTCTGGAGACTTAGAAGTCCAATATCAAGGTGCCAGTCAATTCAGTTCCTGATGAAGCCCTGCTTGATCTGCAGACAGGTGCCTTCTTAGCACACTCTCACACAAAAGTAACTTCTCATCACATACCATAATCTTCCTCTGTCTCTTCTTCTAAGGGAACTAATCTCATTCATGCGGGTTCCATCCTCATAACCAATTTCCCAAAGATCCCACCTCCAAGTCCCATCATATTGGGAACTAGGACTTCAACATGTTTTGGGGGGTAACCCAAACATTAAGTCATATGAAGAAACATTGACAGAACCTCAGTTCTTAGTCCCAACATTCAAGCATCAAGAACCCGGAGGGCAGTCACTAAAATAGTATGTATGAAATTAGCTTGAAATAGAGGCCAACAAGGATTGACTACTTACACAGGAACCTGCAAGCACAAGCAGCGGCCCAGATCCAGGCTGTCAACCTTTCTTTCCCTCGGTTTTCATGGTTTCCTCTTTGTTCTTTTTAAAAACTTTGGTAAAACAGGGTCTCCCCTGGTGGCACAGCGGTTGCGCGCTGGGCTGCGAAGCTACCCGCAGCCTCTGCAGCGCCGGTTCGATCCCTGGCCACCAGCGAGGGTCCCACATGGCGCGCAGACCTCTCCTGCCTTGTCTGCTGCTCCCCTCAGCAGTGTACTTCATCAGTCTGCCTGCTCTGCTCCCCGCTCTGGCTCTGGTGAATTCTCTCATCCTCCCACACTTCTGACTGTACCCAGTGCTTGTATAAATAAATATTTAAAAAAAAAAAAAAAAACTTTGGTAAAAGACATTAACATAATACTTAAATTATTAACATAATTTTAACCATCTGTAAATGTGCAGTTTCAGTGGCATTGAGTATATCACAACATTGTGTTAAGTAGCAACAAGGATCTATGCCCAAAGCTTCATTGAATTCAACAACAGGCCTCCCCGGTGGCGCAGTGGGTTGAGCACAGTGCTGTGAAGCTGTCTGCAGCTTCTGCAACGTGGGTTTGATTCCCGGCCAGCCAGGGAGATTCCCACATGGCGGGGCAGACCTCTCCTGTCTCGCTTGCTGCTCCCCTCAGCAGTGTATTTAAGTCAATCTGCCTGTTCTGCTCCCCACTCTGCTCCCTGCTCTGCTCTGTGAATCCTCTCACCCTCCCACCCCTCTGACCTGTACCCCAGCTCTTGTATAAAAATAAATAAATCTTAAAAAAAAAAATAAATTCAACAACTCTACACTCATTAAACAATAACCACTCCTTCTCCCCAGCCCCAGTAACCTCTACTCTGCTATTTTATGAATTTGCCCACTCCAGGGACCTTTTGTAAGTGGAATCATATAGGGGCCTGGCTTATTTCAACAAGCATGTTTGCAAGGTCCATTCATGTTGCACCACATGTCAAAACTCCATTCCTTTTCACAACTGAATAGTATTCCCACAGGGACATACCACATAGTGTTCAAGTATTCATCATCTTAGACACAGGTTGTCTCTACCTTCTGACCACTGGGGATACTGCTATGAATCATAGCATGTGAGTGTGCCATCTATCTGTATGCATGTCTTCTTGGAATACAGCCATGCTATCTGTTTAATACTGTAGGTGCCCTATTTTCCTGCCACAATGGCAGCTGATTACTGGAGCTGCAACAAAAACTGTAGAACCTACAAATCTTACAGAATAACTTCACTGACCTCTATCTATAGACAATGGATTTTATCACTTAGACAATGTAGATTAAACCACAGGGCAAATTTTTCTTTTTTAATTTATTTATTTATGCATATACCCTCCTGCGCATCTGGCCTGTACCCTAGCTCTTGCATAAATTAAAAAAAATAAAAAAAAGAAATAAGGAATACT